ATAAATAAATTTGTAGTTTTTTTACCTGCTAATTATTAAATGAATTACAATAATAATTTGATACTTACTTTTACTTACAATATTAATTTAATAATTTACTTAATAAATTTCAGTGTTAATTTAATAGTTAAGTAAATAAATGATATTTATAATTAAAATATTAAATATTAATAGAAATAAATAATAATATTAATAATTAGTGAGAATATAGTTGAAAAAAAATCTAAGCATGGAATTTCCCTTAGGAATCGAACCCTAACTTAAAAATTGCGAAATCAGGGTTTAATCCTTGCGGCCATCAATACAGCACTAAAATTTTGTTTCTTCTGCTCTAAGGGAGCGTTCATAAATGATGTCACGTTTTTGGGGGGAGGGGGGTCTTTACCAAACGTGACACAATGTATTTTTACATGTGAAATTGCATGAAATTGCGTGACAGGCGGAGGGGGGGGGTGTCTAAAATCCCGAAAAATTGCGTGACATCATTTGTGAAAGCTCCCTAAGGGCGATGAGAAAAATAGTGGAGAATATAAATTAAAATGAATTGATAGTTTGTTTATTATTTTCTCAACTGAATAATTTATTTTGCCCAAAAAAAATTTTGTTGTCAAAAACTAAATAATTTGGTCGCTTCAATACCAATCAATTTGGTTCTTTCAGACAAATTTTGAGTGTTAGGGTCAAAAATTTTTGTCTTCGTGTTGAGTTTGAAAAAAAATTTTGCAATTGATTTTGGTTGACTATTTTTTTTTTTTTTTTGAGGATTACACAATGAAATAGCGAAATCCATCAACTGGACGAGAGTTGAGAACGCACGTGGAGTATTAAATGTCAAATGACCTGTGACGTCTTTCTGAGTCTCTTGAGTCAGTCCCACATATCCAAGCTAAATACGGAAAGACGACAGCTGCCGGCACGTTTATTTTCAGAACGAGCGAATCTCTCTTCTTCCTTCAATATTATTATCTACTCTTACGTATAAACGCATTGCAATTGTATCGAATACCTGTCGAGGGGGGTCAGGGAAAACTAATCACAATTTTACCCCCTCCCCCTTTTTTTCCAATTACAAAAAAAAAATTTGTATTTTCTTTTTGAAAAATTTCTCGTTCTTACTTAGTCAGCTTAATTACTTTTCTAGAAATGAATTTCCGTTATGGTGCGTGAAAAATAAATACGGGGGAGGGGTTTATTCCTCATTCTGTGATACGGAAACGCATCAAGAGTGTAATGACACTTGGGAATTTTGCCAATTTTCCTCTTGTCTTTCTCTCCTCTTCTCTTTCTCTATTTCATGACACGACAAATCATGAAACTTCACGCTCAATTTAATTTATATGTTCTTGACAACAATTTCGCTTTGAAGAGGTTGTTGTTTTTAGTATCTTGCGTGGTTTGTGTTTTGCATCATTTTTTGGAGTGTTTTAGATGTAAATTGAAAATTTTTGGACTTTTTTTTTTATTTGTAATGTTGCGTTGGTCTCAGTCATTTAGTGTCCTGACTAAAACTTCGGAGGTTCGATTCTTCTCAGAGGATTTTTTTTATTATTGATTTTTGATTAAATTCATTAGGTTTTTTTTAATAAGATTAATTTTTTTGTTCTAATTTCAAAAATATTGTTTTTTTATTTCCTATTTTATAAAATTTAATTTTTTATAATAATTCAAAAAAAATTGTCATTTGTAGTACCCGGCGTTTTTTTTCATCTTTGCTGTTTTAAATTGAATATAAATTTTTTTTTGTATTTATGGCGCTGGCCTTGATTGTTAAAGCACCTGACTGCTGAAATTCGAAGCTAGGATTCGATTCTTCATAAAAATTTTTTTTCTTTTTTTTTACTAAATTCTTAGTTTATTTTAAAGCAAATTAATTCTGCTATCTTTTATTATTACATAATATTACTACAAAGGAAATCAACTAAAAATACAACTGAAAATAAATATATTATTCCATATATATTTTTAATGAGTACTCTTCTGTTCTTTTTATTTTTTTTTTTTCTTTGTTATTTTTCTCGAAATGTTATTAATAATTTCTTTTGCAATTTAATTTTTTTGTTAATTAACAATTGACTTAATTAGCAATTGAAACATTTTTAAAAATACTATTTTCAATGGTTTAAAATTATTTAAAATGAGAATAAAATGAGGAAATTATTTTTTTCCCCGTAGTGTTTGTTTATTATTTTCGGGAAACTGGATAATATTTCTATTTGTATTTTATCGGCTCTGTGAATTCATAAATGGAAAGAGATGATTCGTAGTCTATGGCATGATTGTTTCTCGGTCGGGTCAAGTAGCCCCCTCTCCCCTTTGAGCCCTGAACGACCTATTTGAGCGCGAATTTTAACCCAAATACTCGATTGAACGTGGTCAATGACGATAGATCGATGAAAACAAATTAACTGGCATCTATTCGCGTGTATATTTATATATATATATATATATAAACATCTAATATTGTTACTCGCACACGCGATTGTCATAAACTTTTCTGAAAAGCTGTCAAACAAAAAAAGCGATTTTTATTTCATTTCTCAGGCACTTTTTTATTTTTTTTAGATTCTGTTCGAAATAAACTGTTCTCAATTTTATTTTTGTTTTATTAGGTTTTTAAATTTATATTTGAAGAATATTTTTTTAGACCTTGATTTGAAATATTAAAATCGCAATATAGTTACAATAATGCGATTATATTTGAGCAAAAGGAACGAAATTGTCAATTTTGAAAGTAGTTGTGTTATAGCCTGATGAGTATATAAACATGTATATTTTATCTGGTATCAATAAACAAATAAAAAAAATGAGTAGGGCTTTCAACTTTTGTGGTAAAAGTTCGGGGTTCGAATCCAGTTCCGGAAGATTTTTCTTTTCATTCAACTTTTCAAATGTTTCTTCGATAGCCAAAATTTTAAAAAATTCAACTTTAATAAACTTCTTCAAAACAATTAAATTATTTAAAAAAAAATTTAATAAAATTCTTCGCACGAGATTTAATTCTTTTCAATACAATTTTAATAAAATTCGTCGAATAATTGTCATGAATTCAATTATTTTTATATATATAAAATTAAATTCTTCAGAAGAATTCAATTATTTTCAATTATTTTAATAAAATTCCTTGAAACAATTCAATTATAAGAATTAAATTATTTTTAATACAATTTAAATTGAAATCCTGTAAAGAATTTTAATAAAATTCAAAACAAAAATTAAATTTTACATTTCAGATTCAAAATTATACAGTTAAAAAAATACAAAAAGTAGAAAAAAATAATGTAAAATTTTATTAAAAATGTTATACCTATTTTAAAATAGAAAAAATTCCACTTATAAAATAGTGAAAAATAAATTAATTAATAAATTTTTTTTTGCAATAATATTATCACAAAACTTATTCTCTAAATTTGAATTAGTAAATATTTGAACAAATTAGAACCAAAGTGATACGAAATTTCTAAAAATTAATTTTTAACTTCTAAATAGAACGAGTCATTAAAATAAATGTAATTCTGCTTTTCTTAAAAAATAAATTTTTAAAATTTTAAAAAGTTTCAAATTAAAGTTTTAGAAAAGTTTAATTGAAAAAAACTGAAATTATAAATTCTGAATAATTTAGTTTTCTGAAACATTTTTACTCACATTTTTATGAAATTATAGTTATATTTTTTAATTTATTTTTAATTGAAGAATTTTCAAATTATTCCAAATGTCATGAAATTGTTTTGTAAACATAATTGGATTTAGAAATATTTTAGTTTTTGGGTAACTTTTTTTGAAATCATTGAATTTTAAGAAACTTTCTTAAAAAATATTAAAAATAATTGAATTAGAGAGAAATTTTAGTTAAAATTTCTAGAAGATAATTGAATTGAAATCTTGAAAATATAATTTTTGAGAATTTTTTTTTATTATACCGGGAAAAATAATTCAAAGACTAGGAAATTTTTCTTTTTTGAAAAAAGTGGTCACCGTGTAATAATTATTGTTTATTATAATGATAATTGTATAAAAATTATAATTTTAGTTTTTATTTCATTTTTATAGTTTATTTGTTTACTTTTTATTTCTATTGTTTTTAATTAATTAATTTGTTTATTTATTGTTGTATTTTTTTGTTCTTATAAATTATTAATAATTACTAGTAGTGTTATTATTTTTATTATATATGTGTTTACAAAGTTATTTATCTCAAGACTTCATTACAGGCGAAGAGATAGAAAATTAAGACCTTCGATATAAACAATCAATGGTAATATTGCTGAATCATTTTATCCGTTTATAATATTATGAGAGAAATACAGAATTATCGTAAATAAATTAAAAATATAAATTTTCTATATTAAACGATTATAAATTTTTTTGTTCCTCCGTATTTTTAATTATTAATCAAACTATAATCTTTTATATAAGAAAATTTCCAATACATAGCGTTTAAGGAAATGTAAATTTATACTGTATTAAGATATAATGGGAAATTAGTTGCAATTTTCTTTAAATTTCCCGGTTTTTGCAATTTAACGGCTTATTTATGAATTATTAATTTTACTTTTTTTCTATATTGCATAATTTTGCAGATATTATTTGAATTTGTCTTTTTTGTTATTTACTTTATTGTAGATATTAGTAAAAAAATGGAAATAAATAGTGATATAAATAACAGTAATTTATTATCGACGGTCGGTAATTATGTACTTCGGTCGGTAATGAAAACGAAAAATATCGATAACTGACCATTGGAACTTTGCTTCCCTCTTTTTAGGTTATGTTTTCAAACATTACAATTTAAAAAAAGAAGTGGGAAGCATTACAATGTTTGAAAACATAACCTAAAATGCGGAGAGTAAAGTTTCAAATCTATATTAATTAATAATGTAGATTAAGTTAATTATTCATTAATAAAATTACCCATGAATTGAAAATAATCTAATAAAAAGGAAATTTTTGTATATTGTTTAAGAAATGGAAATTAATTGAATTATGCATTTATTTTGTTTTAGCGAGGGAACGCTTTCCATCGTCGAGCAGCACTGATGACGATCAAAGTGGATCAGACGCTGAACATGATTCGTCGACGATTCGTGGCAAAGGTCACTCAGGAATTTTACATCATTCGGGAACGCATTCCGTACGAAAACGTCGAGGAAATTTACCGAAACATTCGGTAAAAATTTTAAAAAGATGGCTCTATGAGCACAGGTACAACGCTTATCCCAGTGATAGTGAGAAACTCACCCTCAGTCAAGAAGCAAATCTCACAGTTCTACAGGTAAATAAAAGACAAAAGGAAAAATTTCAATTATTACTGTTATTATTATTATTATCATTTTATTATTATTATTATTATTATCACCAGTCGGTAATGTAGAAATTCCTTTACAATTGCGAGTAGTTTTGAATTTACAATACTCTAAAGTAGAATTTTTTAATACTTTTCTTCTTGGTATAATTTTTCAATAAAGTATCCTGACGTGTTAGGCAATTTTGGGACCAGCGATCGTGTTTAGCGAACAAAAATACATTAAAAACCGTTCCCATATTGAAAAATTATCAAAAAATAATTTTATTTAGTCTTACTTTTCTTAAAATCATGACGTGTAAGGTAATTTCGAAACTTGGAATCGTGTTCAGCGAACAAAAATACACAGAAAACGATTCCCATATCAAAAATAAAAAAAAATAATTTTTTTGGATCTTTACCCCCACTTTTTTCAAAAACTTCTATTTTGTCTTGCGCACATTGATCTTAAATTGCATATTTCAACTTTTATATTAAGACTAGCATAGTGTTGCCGCGATACGAGACGAGGCGATAATTTTAACTGTCTCGTCTTGTCTCGTTATTATAGGGCAATTTATCGTCTCGTCTCGTGTTTCGAAAATATTACATATTATCGTCTCGTCTCGTCTCGAGTGTCGAGAATGCTACACATTATCGTCTCGTCTCGTCTCGAGCGTCGAGAATGCTACACATTCTAGTTTTCTCTCGTCTTTTTCAGCTTTCTTTATAGAAGTATAGTATTGTAAAAAATTTGACGTGTTAATTTTTTTTAATGTTAATATTTATCTTAGATATACATATATGTCTGTAAAATTTTGTTCGCACATTACGAAAAAATGACTTGACGATTAAGGTGAGACTTGGTAGTCTCTCAGGTATTAGTCTGGTTTAAAATTTTAGCTATATTGGAATAAAAAATGTTAAGCTGAATAATAGTTACAATTTATTTTCAAATAATCAAAAATGCAATTTTTTTTATTTTTTGCATTAAAAAAATGTTTTTGTCTCCAATAACTGATTACTTGTTTTGTTTATTATCAAATAAATTTTATTTGCTTCAAATTCTGAATTCATTGGTTCAAAAATAATTTATTTCAGTAAAATAAAAATTATTTCATTCAAGTTCAAGTGAATACTTTCTTATTTGATTCAAATCAAATAATTTTTAAAAAGATAAATATAACTCTCTAAATCTGAATTAGTAGAAAGTTACTAATGAAATGGCGAAAAGTCGTCCACCAAATGATTTAGTAATATATTACTAACAAATAGTGAATTTTACTAATTGATTAGTAGATTTCTACTAACAATTAGTAGAACTGTTTTATTAATAGTCGATAAAACAGTTTTACTAATTCATTTAGTGAAATGAGTGACTTTTAATTAGTGAATTTCTACTAAAACATTAGTAAAATTTTACTAAGAATTAGTAATATTCTACTAATTTAAAAGGGGAAAAGTCGTCCATGAAAACTACTAAAAATTAGTCAAATTTTACTATTCCTTAGTAGAATTCTACTAATTCAGATTTAGAGAGAAAAGTTGCTAACTTTTTTAGCTAAATATAGAACCCATTTTCACAATAATATTTAAAAATAAGCAAAGAAACTGAATTTATGATCCAAACCCAAATTTTTTTTTCACAATTTTTTTAAATTTATTTTTCCGTTAAATATTGCTCATTAAAAAAAACACTGAAAAAAGAATTAAATTTCAACTTTTAGTTAAGAAAGAATTTATTTACTAAATATTATGTATAAAAAAAATATAATTTATATAAAATATTTATAATTTCTTATATTTTGTTTAAAAAGACTATTAAATGCAACGTAAACAATAAAAGATTTTAGTATACATATATCTATCATATTTTATATATATATGTTAACCGTAACTATATATTTTCAGAATAAAACTTTGCAATTTAAAAAAAATTCTCATCGAGAATTCTCGTAATTCTCGTCGAGAATTCTCGTCTCTCGTGACACCTCTCTCGTCTTGTATCGTTTTAGCGATAATTAAAAAAATACTGTCTCGTCTCGTCTCGAGTCAAAGTTCTCTCGTCTCGTCTCGCCTCTCGCCATTATCGCGGCAACACTAGACTAGCACTTCAGTTTAAAGAGAAAAATTGTATTGAAAAGCCTGAAAAACACGTTTTTTGTGTCCTTACCCCCACTTTTCTCAAAATTCTGACTTTCTACAAAATTTTTGGACCCGGGATCGTGTTCAGCGAACGAAAATACATTAAAAACAAATCCGATGTCAATAATAAGAAAAAAAAAATTTTTTTGGTTTTTCACCCCCACTTTGTTCAAAAAAAATTTTTTGTTGTTGTCTTGCGCACATGGATCTTAAACTATACGATTTAAGTTTCATTTTAAGACTATTATTTCAGGATAAAGAGAAAAAGCATATTTGATAACCTCAAAAACTAATTTTTCAAATTTCGCAATATTGGCGAATGGAATTTATTTAAATTTTCTCCTGATAAATTTAATTTGGCGGAGAATTTACAATATTTTTGTGTTTTTAATTACCATAATAGTTTGGTAAAAATTTATAAATAAGTACGTTGTAAATTTATACATTTTGCACAACGTCACAAAGAATAATATAATTATATACTTTTTTTGTAAACTGCACGCCACTGTTATTTAAATGTGAATTTAATTTTTTAATTAAGTAGGTATGTAATTTTAAAAATGAAATTACCGAATTTTTTTGAATTTTTATAAGTAGGGTAGCACATGCATTTCACATACGTATGTTTCAGATTCTGCGGTAAGCAGAATTCAAAGTTAAATAATTAAAGTAATTTTATGTTAAATGTATATCTTTTTAGACAATAATTGTATCAAATATTGTTCAAAATAATTTTTTCAATGTTTTTTAAATATTAATATTTTCTTAAGTGATAAATAATTACACATTTCACGAACGCGTAGCGACGCACTTATACCCTATTTCTTTTTGGAATTTAAAAAAAAAATTATAATTTGAAATTTGTTCAAGGTGCAAAGTTACTTAAAAGTGCAACATTACTTTAATGTCCAAATTACTATAAAATAGAAATAAATTATTTTAAAGTCTAAAATTACTTTAAAGTATAAAATTACTCTGGAGTCTAAAATTACTTATGAGACTAAATTTACTGTAAAATTTTTAAATCATTTAAAATTTCTAAAAATTACTTAAAATCTAAAATAACTTTATTCTGAAATTACTTTAAAATATAAAAATACTGTAAAGTCTAAAAATACATAAAAGACTAAAATTACTTTAAATTATAAAAATCATTTAAAGTTTCTAAAAATAACTTTAATCTGAAATTACTTTTTTAAGTGAAAGTTATTTGAAATTCCAAAAACTACTTTAATTTGAAATTACTTTCTGGATCTTTTTAGATTAATATTATAAATTACTTTGTGAAAAATAAAATTACTTGAAAGCACAAAATTGCTTTTAGGTACAAAATTACTTTAAGGTAGTACGCTCGCGACAGTCACTCTCAAAAGTAAATTTTAATAAAATGCTATAGTATGGTGCAGTTACTGTAGCATATTTTTGCTTGGACTGTACTGAATACATAGTCAGCCCTATGTACAGACACACTCACACACAAGTATACTAGTCAGATTAGAATATTATATTAAATTATAACTTTTAACTGAAACGGTTAATATTGTTAAATCTTTTTGTTATAAATTTCTCAAACATTCATTTATAATATATTAGTTTTTTAAAACAATCTATAGAAAATTTTAGAAGTTATTAGAAGAAATGTGCCGTTTACATGCACTTTTCATAGGTTAACCATGTTAAATAACAAACTTTGAACTTAAATATCTTGTTTTAGAAACGGTCAATTTTTTTAATATTTTGCAAATACATAGATCTTGTTATTAACTATTCTGATTTCAAATTTCATGAAATTCTATAGAAAAGTGCGATTGCGAGCGTACTACCTTAAAGTACATAATTACTCAAAAATCTAAAATTACTTGAAAGACTAAAATTACTTTAAATTATGAAAATCATTTAAAATTTCTAAAAATAACTTTAATCTGAAATTACTTTTTCAAGTGAAAGTTATTTGAAATTCCAAGAACTACTTTAATTTGAAATTACTTTCGAAATATTTTTACATTAATATTTGATATTACTTTGTGAAAAATAAAATTAATCTAAAGTTTAATATTAGGTACTTAATACAGTCGGGTCCCCATACTGTTACATTTCCAGAAATTTCCCACTCCTCCAGACTCAGCTCTGTTATGTGCTCAAAGTATGCCTACTGCGCACCTTTCAGGAACGTAAATATATACACCTCAAGTTTGGCCTAGAAGTATATGCCTCCTTTTCTTTGGGCTTAAGAATACGGCCCTGAAAATTGGTGACGTAACGTGACGTCACCTAACACTTCTGAATTTGGAGGTTATGCAAAAACATAACACTACTGAGGACATAACAGTTTGGAATCTAACAGTATGGGGACCTGACTGTAAATTATAATTACTTTAAATTATAAAAATTATTTAAAATTTCTAAAAATAACTTAATCTCAAATTACTCTTTTAAGCAAAAGTTATTTGGAATTTCAAACACTACTTTAAATTGAAATTACTTTGTGAAGAATAAAATTACTTTAAAGCATAAAAATGCTTTAAGGAGCGAAATTACTTGAAAGCACACACTTAATTTAAAAGTACAAAATTACTTTAGAATAATCTTCTTCTTTATTAAATTTCTTTAAAAATTCTTAGGGAACACAAATTTTGAAAAATGTTCTTATTAAATTAATTTTTACAAATTTACCAACCAAAGGCGGCAATATTTAGAACTTACATAATCTGAACTTTTAACAAAGTTGACTTTAAAATGACTACCAGGTATATAATACACACAGTTATTCATTTTTAAAAAGGAAGTCAAGTATTACAGAAGATAAGGTACAAGCAAAATGTATTCAATGCCTTTTTATTTATGGT